CCACCTCAGAAGATTCTGGATGGAGTTCAGGATTCCACCTATGGTCTTATGTAATGCAGAGGCTCCACAGGAAGCCTCCTTCACTGGGCATGTTGTAGCCCCATTTTAGATATTCTAATCAAGTATAGGCAGAAAGACAAGCTTTCTATTTCTTGGCTATTCCTTTCTCTCCCCTTCAAGTATGTATTTTATAATGGTATGTCAGGGAAATCAAGATTAAAAAAGACAGCCAAGCATATTTATGTTATTTCCCCCCCTTTGCCCATTCCAACCATGTCTCAATCCCTGGATCCCAGAGCCTTGTTGCTCTGAGGTTGTGCATACATCATTATTTACCTCTGTTCCATTTAGCCCATGCAAACCTGCCTAATTGTTCTCCCACCTGCTTTGTTCTTCCATTCTTCTTCCCCTTCTTGTGTATTGTCCCCCACCCTAGCACCCAAACTATCCTGTGTCTATTTCCTGCCCTATGTTCCACCTTTCCCTCCCACCTGTCACATGCCAGTAACCAGCAAAGATTCCCCACACTCCCTTTCGTATGGGTTCTTTTTCTTAGTCTTTTATAGTAGTAGTCCTATGCAGTATTTCTCCTTTTGTGACTGAATCATTTCACTCAACATAATGTCTTCAAGGTTCATCCATGTTGTGCAGTGGCTTGCAGTTTCCTTGTTATTCTTTAAGATAGTATAATATTCCATTGTTTGTATGTATCACAGTTTGTTTATCCATTCTTCAGTTGATGGATATTTAGGTTGCATCTATCTTTTTGCTATCGTAAATAGTGCTGCTATGAACATTGGTGTTCATGTATCTATGTGTGTTATAGCTCGTATTTCTTGTGGTTAAATACCAAGCAGAGAAACTAAAGAAATCCTACCAGGGTAAGGATTTTTTTTTTCTTTACATTGAGATGTAATCCATACTGAAGGCTGTGTTCTTTGATCTTTATCAGTAAATATTTTAAGTCTTCTTCACTTTCAGCAAGCAAGGTTGTATCATCTGCATATCACAGGTTGTTAATGAGAATTCCTCCAATTCTGATGCCATGTATTTCTTCATATAACCCAGCTTCTCAGATTATTTGCTCAGCATACAGGTTGAATAAATATGTTGAAAGAATACAACCCTGTCGCACACCTATTTAAATTATAAATCATTCAGTGTTCCCATGTTCTG